GGTCCGCGGGCAGGGCGGGCCTGCACACCTCGCCGGGACCCCGAGGGCGAGTCGTCTACGTGACGGATGGACGGACGGCTGCGTGTTTTCCAGCCTTGGGTGCGCTTTTCCCTGGTCAGGGCTGGGACCAAAAGAGGAAAAAATAAACAAAAAAAAAACAGGACTTCCCCAGCCGCCCAGCTTGGTGGAAAGACCTTCCTGACGCCCTTCTCGTCACTCGCTTTGACGGCCGCGAGTTTGGGCCGAATGGGGTGTTCTCTCTCCACCCGCCGCAATTAGTCGGTCCCGTCTAGAGGTTTCAAATGCCAGTTGCATATTTTAAAACAGAAGCAATGCCTCTTTGGGGGGCCGGTGGGGGTGGGGACTAGCAAGAAACTTCACATGGGAAATGACTTTCAGTTGACTTTTCTGAGCCCTGGTGAGTTTTTCCTCCATTCGCGGAGGCTTTAGTTCCTCGGGCCAGTGGTCAAGGTGTCCTGTCTGGGTGGGAAACAGGTGTTGTTGCTTGTGCCCCGGAAGAATAAAGAGGGTTGTACGGCTGGGGACGAGAGCCCCGTTAAAGTCAGAACACGAGCCAATGATTTGCAGACATCGTGTTCGACATCCCTGGAAGTTAAATGGTAAACATCTGCGATGAAGCTTCCCATAGTGTCTACAGTCATTCCTACCGACCGTTGTTTCTTTTTAAAATTCCCAGCTCTTGTCCAAAGAAGTGGTGTTTCGTGCACGGGCTTGTGATAGACACCTTTGGCAGGAAATATTAGAGGGTAGTGGTTCCATCATCCATTTTTTTGATCAATTAACTTCATGGCTTAAGTTTAAACGGATATTTTTGTTAATGTTTGGCTAATCTTTTGCCCACTTAACCAGAAGTGAGTATCAATAGTTAACCCACATCTATATCTTGTATGTATGAGAAAAGGCTGTCTTGTAATTGTTCTATTAGACTTGCATGTAATCCAGTCCAAAGTAGACTTTCACAGTGTTTACGATCACATTGACATACTTTTTTTTTCCCCCCCTCCATGCAGTGTTTACTTAAGAATTTTTGAGTTTGAGCAGTTTGGTAATCCAGTAACTTCAACAGGATTTCTTGACCTGGCATTGTTGACATTTTGGGCCAAATAATTTTTTATGGAGAACTGTCCTGTGCATTGTGGGATGTTCAGCAGCATCCACCACCTCTATCCTTTCGGTGCCAGTAGGGCTCCACTCATCCTCTGTCCAGTTGTGACAACAGAAAGTGTCTCCAGATATTGACAGTATGTTCCCTGTAGGGCAAAAAATCACTCTCAATTAAGAACCACTGGTTTTACAAAAGCAATTTGATTTTCTAAGTGGAATAATTTACACCAACTTGTGAGTCTTTATTCTCCACAAACCAGCTGATCTGCTTGACTTCCTACTGTTTTCAATGGTCTTCAGTCATCGTTTTTCGTATCCTAAACTAGTTCTTTGTCTTTCATATTCCATTTTGATTGCCACCTATCCTAGCAATATGCCTCCTGCTACTTCTCTTTTGGGTTTTTGTCCTTGCTTCTCAGATAGTCTTGCCATTCATCTTTACTGTTACAAAACAAAATCTGCCTAAAGCATTCGCACTACACCCTATTAAAGTTGAAACAACTGTGCAGTTACCAAAAATTTCAAGTTGTACAAAAGAATATGTAATAAATCTTCCCACATTAACTACTCTTGCTGTTTTGTCATGTATTTTGAAGCTCATATCAACATGTAAAGACCTACAATTACAAAACGTAGTGACTTAAAATATTAACAGGTTTATATGATTCTTCTCTTGTCAGTACTCCCTCCCCATCTTCAGCCCCTCTCTTGATGTTGGACCTTTTCCTTTATATTGTTCTTTCAGCAAATCTTTGGATGCCTGCTATGTTCCGACACTGCCAAATGCTAAGAATAGAGAGAAGGAAGTTCTCCCCTTAGAGTTCACGTAATTAGGATTTTTACCCTTACACATACACACACTAAACACTTTCCTACACCCCACCTCACATTCTATCTAATGCTCCATCATCCTTTCACAAGTCAAATTTATTCAAAAAACAATAAATTCTACTTAGTTGCTCTACTTGCTCACCTAACTTTCGTTTTTCTTTTTAACATACATATATTTATTGATTTCAGAGAGGGAGAGAGAATTGGAAACATCAATGATGAGAGAGAGTGATTGATTGGCTGCCTCCTGCACACCTCCTACTGGGGATCAAGCCCGAAACCCAGGCATGTACCCTCGACCAGAATCAAACCTGGGATCCTTCAGTCTATAAGCCAATGCTCTATCCACTGAGCCAAACCAGCTACGGCTAACTTTCATTTTTCAACATACAGCAGTGACGTTTGTACCTCACTACTCCATTTAAACAGCTCTTGCTACTCAGCTACAGCCAGCTGTTGCCTTGCTGGAAATTGTTTCATTATTGCACAAGCCAAATGCATCAAAATGTTGTTTATTGCCTCTGGATCACAGTTTTGTTTTTATCAGCATGTCATACAAAGTGCTCTGTGGAACTGATCCTACTTCATCTCAACTTCTCAACATCTGACCTGTGCTTCAGGAATACCAGACTACTTGCAGTTTCTCCCATTTTTCCTGTGCGTTCTGTTCCCTCTGCCTGCAGTATTTATTCTCCCTGTCTTCCTAAGTACTTACATTCATTGTTCAGGTCAAACGTAATCTCTGAAACCTCGTCCAGCAGGTATAGTTAGTACTTCTTAAATGTTTCCACAGCATTATACATTACTTCTGTTACACGTTACTATGTTTTATGGTAGCTGTATGTTTGCTTTCCTTTTTTTTTCCTTAGAAAACATATGCAAAATTTAACCATTTCAGTGATTTTTAAGTGTACAGTTCTGTGGCTTTATTTACATTCACGTTGTTCTGTAACCATTACTGTTATCCGCCTCTAGAATTTGTTGTGGTCGTTAATCCTCACCCCTAGTATATTCCTCCATCGATTCTCAGAGAAAGTGGAAGGGAGGGGGAGAAGCAGAGAGAAAAACATCGATGTGAGAGAGACACATCAATTGGTTGCCTCCCACATGCATCGACCAGGCCAGGGGTCGAGCCTGCATCCCAGGTATGTGTCCTTGACTGGAATTGAACCTGGGACCCTTCAGTCCGCAGGTCGGTAGATACTCTATCCACTAAGACAAACAAGCCAGGGTACCCTCTAGAATTTTATTTCTAGAAAGTTACTCACCTTTTTGTCATATTCAGTATTTTTAATCTGGGATTAATGGGCAGGCTTCAAAAGTTCTGGGATCCCACAAACTATCTGTAAAGGTTTATGTGCAGATAGCATGTTTTATGGGTGAAGTGTCCAAAACTTTCTTTTTTAAAAACAAATATACTTTTACTTATTTCAGACAGGAAGGGAGAAAGAGAGAGAGAGAAACATCAGTGAGGAGATACATCGATCGGCTGCCTCCTGCACACTCCCTACTGGGAATTGAGCCTGCAACCTGGACATGTGCCCTGACCGGGAATTCAATCATGACCACCTGGTTCATAGGTCATACCTCAACCACTGGGCCAGAACTGTCTTAGGATTCCTAAATAGGTTTGTTCCTTTCTATATGAGTCAGCATCCATTCAGGAAAATTGAAACCAGTCTGAGCATTTGACAGTAGAGACCCGGTGCACGAAATTCGTGCACTCGGTGGGGGGGATGTCCCTCAGCCCAGCCTGCGCCCTCTCACAGTCCAGGAGCCCTCGGGTGATGTCCGATTGACAGCTTAGGCCCTGGCGAGTGGGCGTAAGCCAGCAGTCAGACATCTTTAGTGCTGCCTAGGAGGCAGGAGAGGCTCCTGCCACCGCTGCTGCGCTCGCAGCCGTGAGCCTGGCTTCTGGCTGAGCTGCGCTCCCCCTGTGGGAGCGCACTGACCACCAGGGGGCATCTCCTCATCGAGCGTCTGCCCCCTGGTGGTCAGTGCGTGTCATAGCGACCAGTTGCTCTGCAGATCAGTCGATTTGCATATTAGGGTTTTATTATATAGGACTAGAGGCCCGGTGCACAAAAATTTGTGCACTGGGGGGGGGGGGGGGGAGTCCCTCAGCCCGGCCTGTGCCCTCTCGCAGTCTGGGACCCCTCGGGAGATAACAACCTGCTGGCTTAG